TTTTTTTTTGGTTGCAGCTGTCATTGTTGTTTGGTGGGTCCAGGGTGGATTCCAACCGGCCACCTTAGGTGTATGTGGCTGGCGCCTTAGCCATTTGAGCCACAGGTGCCGAGCCAACATCTACAGTTTTAATAGGTATTACCAAACTACCCCTCAAAGAGGCTCTATAGAGGGTTATTTCAAGTGTAAGAGTGGGTGCAAAGGAAGTAGAGAAGGAAAAGCGATAAGAGCAGCTGAGGAGGGGGCTGAGTTACAAAGATTCCTCTTTGATGAGGCAGAGAAATCAGAGCCAATGGGAGGTTCATAGAGGTGGTAATGGAAGTGAGAAGACCAGGAGACTCTTGCCAGCAAAAGGGATGGGAAGGGAGGGGTTTAAGAGAGAAATACGTCAAATGGTACAGAGGTCTACAATAATGAAAAGGGAATAACTGGGGTTCGGGAGTCTGGGGAAAGAAGCAGACAGGGAGAACAGGGATGGAAAGTGGCTAAGTTGGCCACCATAGTTCAGTGGTTAGCCTGCAGGCCCCGAACACCAGCCTCGCCTGGGCCTGATAAACAAAAAGAGAAAAAGAAATTCCAAGAAACCGGCTGTCTAGAAACAACGCACCAGCCCAGGGCATGGCTGGCAATTAGGAGAGGATCCTGAGCGACAAAGCTGAGGGGGTAGTAAGCTAGAGAAAGCGGTTTCTCCCTCCTTGCTTTTTTTTTTTTTTGTGGTTTTTGGCTGGGGCTGAACCAGCCACCTCAGGCATATGGGGCCATCGCCCTACTCCTTTGAGCCACAGGCGTCACCCCATCCTTGCATTTTTAATCAGCTGTAGGAAAAGGGGAAAGAAGACAGACTATTTAGTAGTTTACAGAGGAGAGAGAAGCTAGCCCTATTGGGCCCCCAGGGTGGAAGCAGCAGGCAGAGTGACACAGACATCAGACCTAGGGCTGAATCAGGGGCTGAGTTCCGCCCCTACACAACTCTGTCCTCTCCAACCCCCCGCCTCTAGGACCAAGGAACAGGTGCCCCGCCCTACCACTCCCTTTGTCCCACCCACCAATAGAGCAAAGGGCTAGAGTGACAATAAAACCAGCTCTACCCCAGCAGCTAGGCTCCAAGACTTCTCTTGGAAAGGCGGACTCCATCTCCTAAGCCACTCCCCCATAGAAGGTGTGGCGAGCAGGAGAGAGGAGGAAAAGCCAGCTGCAAAGCCCCTTGCTACAGAAATCTGGCCTGGACATAAGCAGGAAAAGAAGAAGAAACAAGCCCACCTTGAGGAGGATTTCTCTATCCAATAGAAGAATTAAAAGTTTTAGAAGCCCTTATCACCCACCCCACCTTGCCTGCCTGTCCATCTGGCCTCCAGGAGGCCCTTAATGGCTCTACTGAATGCTTCCTTACCCACTTCCAGACTCTCAGGGTGAGAATGAGCCCCTTGACACCCACACACAGCTTCCTCTACTTCCCAAAGTATTGCAGCACCCTACAATGGCCTAGAATAGCCCAGAGCTCACCCTCAGTCCAAGCTATCCAATTCCCTAAATGCCCTAGGAAATCCCCACTTCACCCTATCTTGAGCCAGCCACGCCCCGGCCTGGGGGTTTTCAGATAAGGAAGGCTGGTCCCAAGATCATGTGATCCCAGTCTAGCTCAGGTCCTGACCAGACTCCAGAGTTTCAGGCTCTGGCCCTGGAGTAGGACTCCCATGGGGCCTCTGTCAGTGCAGGAAGGGCACAGGCAGCTCAGGTCAATAGGAATCATCACCACCTACACTTTCTGCTACTTCCTTGTGGAACAGGCTCTATTCTATCGCTGTTCCAGTGGGACTCAGCCACCCAGCCTAGACCACAGATGTGTCCCCCCACAACCCTGGAATCATCATCTCACCTCTCTTAAGAGACCCAGGAGAGCTACTGAAAGACAGGGAGAGGAATGGACTCTTAGCCTGGCATAGAGACTAGCCTAAGAAAGAGCTGGAGAGGAAAGCCCTTTCTCCACTTTCCAGAATTGAGATCACTCCCAGAATTGGCCCCAGCCCAGCCATGGGCACTAGACACCCTAGTTTTGAGTTCTGTTATCCATTGAGGTTGTCTTGGGTTCTCAGAGCAATAGATTTCTGTCAGAAAGGCAGTCTTGTGTGAAATATAACACAAGACTTTTGGAGGAACCCCTGGAGTGTATTCCAGACCTACCGTGGGCAGTGCTATCCTGGGCAAATTATTTAACATGACAGTCTATTTCTTTATCTAAAAAGTGGAATGACTACAAATAACACCCTTTTTTGGAGGTTTGTCATGAGGACTTTTGGAGATTTGTGAGAGGATGTGTGGCACAGCAATCAGTAAACTGTAAAGTGCTAACAGAGGTTATCGGTATGACCTGCCCCTGGTCTGGAGCCCCATCTGCCCAGAACAGTAGTAGAAAGAGAGAATAGGGAAGGCAGGCCCTGATCCCAAATGACTGTTCAGTCCCAGGAGGAAAGAGAAGGAGCCTCAGCCCCTACTTTGCCCTTATCCTTGGAAGTAAACAAGGCTTGCCAACCAGATGCTAAGCAGGGAGAGCCCTGTCTGGCTCACGCGGACAGGCACACACACCTGGACAGCTGACATCCCTCCCCTACCAGGTATACATTCTAACCAGCTGACTCACCCAGCAATCTTCCTCACCCCCCACCCCAGAGCCTCTAGGTTACTGTGTCTACAACACCATCTCTCTGTTGGGATCAATGGCAGACTGGGCTTGTTCTTTTTTTTTTTTTTTTGAGACAGAGTCTCATTATGTCACCCTTGGTAGAGTGCCGTGGTGGCGTCACAGTTCACAGCATCCTCCAACTCTTGGGCTCAAGCGATTCTCTTGCCTCAGCCTCCTGAGTAGCTGGGACTACAGGCCCCTGGCCACAATGCCCTGCTATTTTTTTTGTTTTAGTAGGCCCAGGCTGGGTTCAAACCCACCAGCCCTGATGCATGTGGGCCGGCACCCTACACACTGAGCTATGGGCATCGCCTCTGGGCTTGTTCTTTAGTCCCTGGAGTCTGGCAGTTTTCCAGGACCACCAAAAGGCCAATCTGTTCCCTGGGGCTAGAGAGATGCTCACCAGTCCTAAGTCCAGCCATTGGAGGAGATCATGACCAGGCTCACTTGACAGGACCTCAAGATGCCCAGGACAGTCCTTGGAAGGGTGCTTTTCTAAACACCAGGCTTCACCCAGACAGTTCGCTCATTCAGCCTATCTATTAGTGCAGGGTTTGGGGATCCTAGGGGTTGCCTCCTCTCTCCAGTACACACAGCCAAGAGCAGAAAGCCTCGCTGTGAACACCAACCCATCGCCTCTGAACAGTCTGGGCTCTAGGATGTCACTTATTTCCACTCAAGTCCCGTTCCTTTCTTTACTGTTTATACTGCCTACTTTTAAGGAGGAATTGGGGTAGGGTAGAAGTGGACTCTGTGCCCTAACTCCTTTCTGCTGCTCGCCTCCCCCAGGACTCCATAACTAGCCCCTTTTCTGAGTTTCTCCAAATCCATCCATGCCCGCACCCTCCTCCTTACCTCCAAATCCTTGGGTCCGCAGATCGCGATAGGAGCGATAAACCTCCAGCGTGAGGTAGTTGATGAAGCCCTTCCTGGGCGCGAACTTGCACACGAAGTTCTGCTCGTAGAGGCAGTTGATGAGGAAGCAACCGGCGATAGCGTCCTCCCCACTGTCGGGTTGCAGCTCTACCAGCGCCAGGTTGCAGTTATGGGTGGCGCAGCAGGCTCGCACGCAGTCCCAGCCACGGCGCACCGCAGGGGAGCCCAGGAAGGTAGCCCCGTTGCTGACTGAGGCCGTGGTGTCCAGAACGAAGGCAGGCACCCCAGCCGTAAAGCGTTCCAGGCAGACGGCTGCCGCGGGCAGCCCCGGAGGCTCGAGGGGCTGCCCGGCCTCAATGCCCTGGAGGCCGAACGCACAAAGGAGCCACAAGGTGACGGCAGGGAGGCGGGCCAGGGTGAGGCAGGCGCCAGCCATCGTCCTCCCAGGGGCCGTGGCTCTCCTCCCCACGAGGGTCACCTTCACAGTGCCGGCCTCTGGGTTCTGAGGGTGCTAGAGACCTGAGAGAGGGGAGGGGAAGAGGAAACACCTTTGATCAGCCGGGGAGACTTCGAAGGAGGAGGGCCGGCCGAGAGGAAGTGGGGGTGGGGGTAGCGCGAGAACCCGAGGGAGAGGGGCAGGCGGTGACCCGGCCGCCAGACGACGGACAGACGGACCGCTGTGGAGCTCACGTACCCGGACACCGGCACGAGCGCAGAACAAAGGGCCAAACATGCTACCAGCCCGCTCCGCCTCCGTCTCGGCCTCGCTGTCCGCGGCCCCGGTTTACCTGCGCAGGTGAGCGGGGAGGGGCCCGGGCGGCCGAGGTTCCGGTCCCGGCTTCCTGCGCGGCTCGGGCCACAGCTTCCGCCCCGGTTCTGTGTGCGCTGAGGATCTGACACTTCCTCCCCCTGGTTTCTGGTGAAACTGAGTCAGTGCGGCCGGGGCGGGGCAGACATTAACCCTTGGGCCGCGGGCCCCGCCCACGCCTGGTGTGCCTCGGCCGGCCCGCCCGCCGCCCTGCCGAGGATCCCCGACTCCACCCTCGGCATCCTGTTCTCCAGAGGGGCTCGCAGGCTCTTTCGGGTCCAGCTTCGAGAAAGGGCCCAGGGCCCCATTAGTACCTCCGGGAATTCCGGAGGCCGGGACACTTCCCGAACGCTGCAGCGAATTCCGGCACTCTGGGGCGGCTGCCTCCAGCCTCCCTGTCCGATTGAGGCCAGCACTCCCAAGCCCCAGGCCTGAGGTGCTTGGGAAGAGCCGAGGAAGGAAATATGAGGGGAAGCTGCATTCAAATGTTGTGGACGTCGGTTGTCGGCCCTCGGGAAATCACTCCCACTCGGTGCCGGAGAAGAACCCAGAAGCCGGTTTCTGCATCTGCAGCAACTGGAATCCAGGACACCTGCTTCAGTGTCTCCGCCTTTGTCAGTTCTGGGAAGATCTCCACATCCAGGCTTCCTTGCTTGACCCACAGTGGTTCCCTTTTCTTGAGGCCCTTCCTCATTTTGTGTTAGAGCTTCCCTTCCCATCTGTTACTGCTTATTGGGCTGCTGCTCCCTCCGTGGAGCTTGGGTTTCTTCTCTCCCACAAAAAGGGTGTTCCTGAAACTGGCCTTACAAATTGATGAAGGGTGTGCAAAATGAGATATAGAGTAAGGGCACCAAGAACTCTGAGAAGGAGCTGGCTTAGCTAAAATAATCATAATGATCAGCCATTGTCCCCTCATTTGCTTGATAATAATCACTGTTGCCTCTGCTTCTGTACTCTGGAGTAGTTTCTCAGATATCCTCTAGGTACTGCATTCCAGTAACAACCCACCCAGACCAAGGAACTGACTCAAACTGGTCTTGGACCCTCCACGCCTGGTCCTCCATTCCAGTAACTGACCCACCTAGACAGTAGCCCATACCAAAGGACTGATAATTCTGTCCTGAAACCAGCCAATTAGCAGACCCCAGTTACCTAATTCTCTGCCCATCAAACTGTCTTTTTTTTT